GAAAGTTCTCTACAGCACCTGTCACGGCACATGATTGCTGGTGGTGATTGGCAATGGAGGGACAGAGAGAGAGGAAATGTCTTCCCATAGGTGATGATGATGATGATGAATGAAGAATGAATGACAGCAGCAAACATTCATGCGCTGGGCCCTGTGGTCAGTGCTCTGTAAACCGATGCCTTTCGTCCTCACGACAACCCTACTGTGAGGTACTTGCATCCTCCGGGGCTCAGCTCAAAGTCCCCTCCGCAGAGAGGCCCTCCACGACTGCCCCTGCCGAGAGACACCACCCGTGTCTGGGACCGCCATCCCGTGGTGTCACAGCGCTTACTTCCTCCCAAAATGATGGCGCACACTCTTGCGCTGCCTTGTTTAGGGTCTGTCTTCCTTACTAGAATGCGATCCCCGGTGAAAGCCGAGTCTTTGTCCGCCTTGTTCACGGCTGCCTCTCCAGGGCCTAGAACAGGGCCTGGCACACAGTAGGTGCTCAGTTAACATTTGTTGAGGAGTGGATGGGTGGGTGGATGGGAGGAAGGTGGGCCCATTGGGGACCCCACACCACTCACCCTACCCTCCTACCTTCAAAGCTGGCACAGCCACTCAGGCAGTGGCCACCCTTCATCCCCCAGATGCTTATGTCATTTCAGCTGACACAGCCAGCCCCGGAGTTTAGAGTGGGAGCCTGGCCTAAGCAACCCCTAAGGGTTCAGGAGTGGGTGAAGGGAGGCCCAGAGGTGGACAGCCTCATCTAAGAGGATGACCCAGGATCTGCCCTGAGGGGTGAGTGGAGGCAGGAAGGCTGCGGGGAGAAGGTGTGGTCTTTTCCTCCACGTGAGCCGGGAGCCACTTGAAAGTGACACCAGGAAGTCCAACCCAGACTATGTCACCAGCCAAGCAAGGTCCCTGTTGGGCCTCAGTCACTTTATCTGAGAAATGGGACGAATCAGATGTTTGTGCTAGAAGCTCATCCCCGCCGCAGGGTTGGGGGGCTGGGGGTACAGTGGGGTCAAGGTTCCCAGGTAGGTCTGGGGTTTGCAGGCCAGGCCACCCCTCCCCACAGCACGGACTGTCATATGGGGGCGGTGGGGCCGCGCCTGCTCCCACACCTGCGGGACGTGGCTGCATGCAGGGGTGCTGGCTGAATGCTACTGTCCTTGTCGTCTGAGGCCAGAGCTGGGGCCCCGAAGGTGAGTGGGGGAGCTGGTGCCGGGACCCGGGCAAAAGGTATGGAGTCTCCGGCTTGGAGCCTTGTAAACTGCGAAGTGAGTGCCCCCAGGAGGGTCACGGGCACCCCCCACGAGGCCGCCCTAAGTCCTGACTGGCCCCCTCGCCCCATGCGAACCTCTGAGCCTGGCCAGGCCAGATGCCCAGCATGGTGGGGGCGGGGGTGCCCTCAGCCAGTCAGTGCCCCTCCTCACCCGCTACGGAAGTGGGAGCAGTGGTCCATGTCGGGTAGGTTCCCCCGCAGCCCACGCTCCAAAGTGGAGTGATGGTAAGGTCAGCACCCAAAGGTGGTTCTGAGCCCCGCTCAGGGGGAGTGGGGGGCCCACCCTCATCTGGAAGGATGGAAGGGCCTCCCGGGGCCCCGAATGGCCTCAGAAACAACACCCTGTGCTCTCGGTGCAGAGAAGGGCCCCAGCCAGAAGAAGGGCCGGAGAGACGGGCGCCCGCGCAAGGACAGGAGGCTGGACCGCACGCTGGACGTGAGGCCCCGCCAGCCGGCCGCCTGAGGAGCCCCAGAGCTGCAGCCCCCAGCGCCCCGCGCCTCCTGCTCCAGCCCTTTCCACCACGGTTCCTGCTGCTGCTTTGTCCTTGCCTCTCCCCACCCTCTGTCCCTGTGTCCTTCCACCTTTCCTGTTTCTCTTTCTGATACTCCTCATCTCTCTTCCTCTCCTCCCTCCCTCTAATCCTCTACCTTCTTATTCATTTCCCTTTTATCTACCTGCCTTTCTTTTCCTTTTCCGCTGCTTTCCTTCCTGTTCTTCACCGTGCCCTCTGTGTCTCTTCTCTCTCTCCCTCTCACACACACGCACACGCACACACACTTTGAGAGACCGACCGTCTGCACCTTGCTCCCCAGATGCTCTATCTACTTCTTAAAGAAAGCAAACCACTTTTTCTAGGCCTTACCCTGACCTTGTCCTGACCCCAGCTTCGCAGAGAAGGGGTTTCCAAGGGCAGGGCCCAGGTCGCAGTACAGGCAGGCTGCTTGCGTCCGGACAGCCCCGCTTCGGCTCCAGAGGAGACCCCAGAACCCAGGGCTGTGAGTGCCCCCTGCTCAGGCCAACCCCTGGAGGCCATTTCCACGGCCCTTGGTCACCAGCTCGCACAGGAAGCCCCAGAAGAGGCCATCAAAGCTGAAAGGAATTTTGAGATTATCCAGGCTGCTCTGTTCCCCACCCTGGAGCCCCCTTGTTGTACTCATGGGGAAACTGAGGCCCAAGAAGGGACTTGCCCAAGGTCACCCAGGGAACCCAGGTGCTAGACTTTTTACTTACCGGCTGCCCTGCAGGGCACAACTCTGGGGGCCTTTGGAGAGGAGATGAAGGAAGGAGCGAGGGAAGATTCTCCCACTCCCCCACGCCACCGCTGAACCCTGCGCACTCGTATTTCACTGTGACAACCTCACACACCCGGCAGGAAGAACATTGGCGGGGGGGGGGGGGGGGGGGGTCTCCCAGGGTTTGTTCTCACTGCCTGTCATTCCACCATCATGGTACCAACCTCCTCCTCCTTGGCCTCCCGGATTCTCCAGAAGGGGGGCTCCCAGCTTGCCCTGGCATTACCTGCTGGCCTGAACTGAGAAGGTCCAGCAGCTAGGAGCTTTGAGGGTCTGGGGTGGCCTGGGGACGGGGTGTGTGCAGGCTGGAAGAGAGGCTGAAAGGGACAAAGTAGCACTCCCCCACCCCACAAGAGTGTCCACCCGCAGGCTTCCCTCTGCCTGGCACACCCTCTGAACCCCCCCCAAAGGCCCGCCCTCACT